CAAAATATATGAACTTCATATATTTCATTGTATCTCATTTATCACTTTCACGGGTTTATTACGAATCAACTTAACGACCTGCTCCCAGTTGGCTTGTTAGCTCAATTGGTAGAGCGCTGCACTAGTATCGCAGAGGTCAGTGGTTCGAGTCCCGTACAGGCCTGATTTTTTTCAGGTCTGATTTTCGCTATTGCTTAAATAGCGCTATCTACTGCGAGGATCGTGCATCATATGAAATTTCACCAAGTCTGCCTACATTTCTGAACATAAGTCATCCCGCTGATTGTAAGCTCCTTTATCGACTTTTTGTAGATGGGGCTCCCAAATCTGCCTCACTGCACTTAGCTGAGGATCATCAAATTAAGCGTGCAGTCTTCAATCACTAATGTTTGTTCTTTTTGCTTTTCGTGACAGACTGGCGATGCATGTAATGCGTATTACGGCCATTTCTAGGCGTGGAACGCAGTCCACCCTGCAGAGTTCCACAGACAACACAGATTGGGAGGACGAATGCGGGCCTTCCATTGGCCAGTCGCTTAAGAACATTTTAGGAAAATTTTACAAGCCAAAGATTAGACACAAACCCCTTCCACCACTACCGAAACTCAAATTCAATCAAGATCAGATGATTGTTTACTCCTGTTTAAATTTCAAAGATCTACAAGCTGTTGAGGAACCAAAGACACCAGCCCTACTGTGCAGTCACAACACCAGAAAAAAATCTTCTTCAGGCCTTCTTCCCCGGATTGCCAAGACTAGAGGTCATCGGTCAAACTCTGATTCTAAACACACCACATATTTCAGGGCGCCTGGTAAACAAACACGTGCAAGTACCTTCCGAAAACCACCCGAAATTTTAAGGCCATCCTTTAAAAAGTAGAATACCCACTTGAGATTGGCATCAATTTAAATTATAATGAATAAAAGTGGCTGATATCATTTTTAATCGCGCGACTGTCTCAAATGTGCCACTTTATGTGTCACAGCCTTTTTATTGAGTCAAGTGCCCCGTCGTTCAAAAAAAAAAAAAATGGTCTCGTTCCAATCTAGTTCCTACTTTACTGTGGGCAGAAATATACCCTGCAAATTGTTGCGCTTAAACTCTATGACTATTTTAGAATTCCCCATGCGACATTACCAGGCTGGGATCCAGACAAGCTGAATCGAGAGAGAGAATAGTGCAACGTACGAGTTTAATTTTTTGACCTTTATTTAAGTCCACATCTTTTTTTTTTTGGTCTGCAGAGAACCCGCCAACTTCAAAGTCTCGCGCTGCAAAAGCGTAATTACCTCCGCTCTGTCGCTGAGTAGGGAGAATAAGTATAAAAAAAAAAACAACAAAGCATCTGATTTTGCAACAGCTGTTTACAAAACCGAATAATGGTGATTCGTTTCCCTTTGTCCAGTAAAAACGAACAGGAACGTATGCCACCATTCAGTCCAAAGGCAGGAAAATTGAAACAAACTCGGCTGTGATCTGATTGGCTACCCTAACGAGGTACAACATTTAAACAATAGAGTGTTTCTGTCGAGGAACTATCGACTGATAGTTGCCCCGCGGAAATTTGATGTTCTTAAAACAAATATGCTAATTTTAAGAACATCAAATTTCCAAGGAGTAACTATCAGACCGATAGTTCCGAGACAAAAACACTATTGTCTTTATTATTCACCACTAAATGTTCTTCCGCGCGCCAGTTGAAAAACAGTCAAATCCACTAAATGCAGATCAATCAAATATTTATTCATGCGTACAGTATGTCACAAATGCCAATAATTCGCAACCGTACATTGGCTAAATAATACTTTAGACCTGTCAGAATTGAAAAGTCACTGTTTTTTCCGATCTCCCTAACTTCGCGGCCGTCAAACCATTCAAAATTTTTCACGGATGACTACTATCCATCCGGGTATTTTCCGCGGAGGGGCACTATGGGCTGATAGTCTCTCTCCACGGATGAACACTATCGCGTCGCGTGATCAATTTAAACCAATAAGAATCAGAGAAAATTTAGCGGCAAACTATAAGAACCGGTATGCTTCGTTCCTCCCGAAAGAAAGATGTTTGAAGCATTTTTAGCAGGAAACGCTTGTTTTCCGAAAGGAACAGCACATCTTTGAGACAGTCAATTAAACTAAGAAGTTCACGTGAGTTCATTCGGTATTGAAACAAAATCTAAGTTTGCATTCGCTCTGACGAAGGGTTAACTCTCGAAACGTCAGCTTTTTTATTCGTTACGGTGGCCAATTCACAATTTCAACTGAGTTAATATAACCAAATTACCTTGTTACCCCCACCGACGCAGCACCACAGTTTCTTTACAAACTTTTAGCCTTTATAAGTTTGCATTAACCTTAAGGCAAATCATAAATCCTTCCCGTAGCGGCCAAACAAACTTGGTTTATATCGTACAGTTATTAAACACGTGATTGATTCATATGCATGACCTTCTTCACCCACCTCCCGCCCAAAACTGTATTGTTCATTCACTTGGATTCTACAAGCTACAAGCTACTAACTACGTTCTTTTGAAAGAGATAGTGTGCTACAATCCACTCGTTTCCACCCCTAAAGGCAAACACCTCGGCACAGTAAATGAAGAACATGCGCCAATTGAAAACGTGCTCATCTAATTGATGGCTGCCATATGTGGTGCGGAATATCTCCCTCACTGTGGCTTGTTGTTTATCCATTTTGAGCAGCCAGGCTTCTAAGGTACGAGCGTAATGATTTCCATTGATCTGCCAGTGATGTTTGATGGCCAAATCTTTCTGAAAATACAACAATAAGTCAGACGAGGGCATTGTGCCTCCACTGAAGAAATTCTGAGCCATCCACTCCGTGTCTGAATTCTTCTTCGTGTTGAAGTTGTAAGCAAACTCGCGGTGACATAAAATCTGGACGAACAACAAACCACCTGGCTTCAACCAGCTGGCCACTCGACTCATTAACTCTTCATAGTTCTTCATGTGCTGCAAAAAAAAGATCCAATTAGAGGCCTTTTTTAATCGAAAATTGCCTCATAATCGAAAACGAAACGACTCAAACTTGGGTACAAATCGACTGAATTTGGGTACAAAACGACCGAATACCCAAATTTCGACGAAAGCAATTGAGTAAAGTAAACGCTGACAAAATGAACCTAGATCCAACTTTCCGGGGAATCAATGGTGCATGGCTGGTCTCTATATAGAAATGGTACATGGCAGTGTTTACAGACCTAAAAACTTCTGCACGGGAAAGTCACCTTTAGACCGTCTCTGGCATACTATAGTGGTAAGAGCATGATCAGAGTAACAATATAGCTGTATTTATTCCCCATGGTGCGTAACCAGAGGTAACTGCAACTGGATATAATTCTTTGTTCCCGGTCCTGCCTAGTCTCCTTCGCAGCCGTTTTTAGGTTCGTCACGCAACGCTCCTCCCCACAAACTGTTGTTGTGGGGAGGAGCGTTGCGTGACGAGCCTAAAAACGGCTGCGAAGGAGACTAGGTCCTGCCCCTTTTTGGGTGGACCATTGGAGAAAATGTATGTGTCGTGTCTTATTTGTATGTGCCCACTAAAATATTTGGAACGTAGCATGAGAATTCCAGATGTGCGACAAGTTCACGTGCACGTGACCTTTTTCGTTTCTCTTTTATGAATAAGTACTTTGGAACTCTAGTTTCTTGAAGTTAGTATCTAAGTTAGTAAAGTTCGCAAAGGGTTTTGCAAAAGATTCAGAGAATTTCGAAGCGACGTGGAGCGACATAGGTAGAGAGGCTGATTTACGACGCTGTGGAACTCTGAAGAAAAAAAAATTAAACCTGGAGTTTACAATTCTTCGAAATTCTGTGGATTCTGCGAAATTCTACAGATGAATAAATAATTTCTGCGTATGGAGTCGCACAGTTTGGTCGACAGCAACGACGTTCGAGAACAAGGTGTGCCACAAGAAAGAATTACTGTCTAGAAAAGGTCGAAAGCTGGTCACCTCGGCGAGATGACAAAGATTTTTGGCCGTTTAGACGAAGTGCTCAAGGATTATCGTTTTACAAGCGAAGTAACGGAGCTGAGTCGTCGTTTACAGGATCAACGGGCGCGGTATTGTTTCGTGTACAATGAAATTATAAGCCATTTACCGGGGGATAGTGAAAGAGCGAATGAAATAGATCGCTTGAATGATCAGACGCGAGGGTACGAAACATACTGCTTTCTAATTGAGCAGTTCCTGGCCCCTGCAGAACTTCAGAGTGGAGTAACGGAAAGCAGCGCGCTCTCAGCTAAGGAACCAGGTGTTTCCGAAAAGTGTGTTAGTCTTCCTGGAGATGCACAAAGTTCTGTTTCGACTGGCTCTCGAAAATCGAGACGTTCAGGTCGTAGTTCAAGTCGTGGTGTAAGATCACGTGAAAATGCCGCAGTGGAAAGCGTTTTGGCCGAAACGAAATTGACGCAATTAAAGAGAGCTAAAGAGAGAAAGTTGAAACAGCGGCTGTTGCTGTTAGAAAATGAAATAGCTGACGCCGAGAACGAAGCCGATTTAGCTCGGACAAGGACACGTTTTTATGAACATTTGGATTCAGACAAGGGAAGCGAAGGGTCTAAAGGAGTGC